GGAAGAGCTACTTCAAAATGTGCTGATTCTTCAAATCATATTTCTGTCCCTAATAATACTAAATAAAATTAGTTCCCAATGGTTAATACTCAACCTTCCTAGCTCATTTCCCAAAGTCCAGCTGTTTCCTTCTGATAAGTCCACACAAGCTTATATTCACAAACGGACTGAACGGTGGATTCTTATGAGTTTGACAAAAAAGGTTGACTACATCAAAAGACTACTACTACAGGTTCAGAGAGATTTCTTCCTTGATAAATAACCACTACAGTACAGATTATTTTTCACTGTCTTCTCAGACTTCTTACCTACCTCACTGTAGTAGAAATTCACTTGTCCCCAGTGTTTACCACTACTCACTGTGTCTCCTAATATAGCAGTGATTCTCAAGTATGGTTTGTAGATCTCTGATGGTCTGCGTAGACCCACAAAGTGATACTGCAACCTTCCGGCAGTCAGTTGACCAGGTCACAACCCACTGAGCCACTGCCTCTCTGCATTCTCCACCACTCAGCTGCTCTGCTTCATCTTCTTAAGGAAAAAAAAGAATGAGCATCTGACAGAAGCATATTCTCTAATATAGAATATATTAGAAGAGAAATAAGGTAAGGAACATCTTTACTCTCCAATAGCTAACGAATGCTGATTTAGGAAAGTTTAGCTGTGGCGCCAGGTTTTTTTCATTTTTTGTTTTACTGTTTTTATTCCATTGGTGGTATGTATTGTTTTATCCTTGAGTTGTGAGCCATCCAGGGTTTGGTTTAAGATGGGCAGCCGTATAAATGTTTTAAATAAATGAATAAATTAAATAAATAAGAGGGAAGCACTCTGTCAGGCTGTAAAGATTCTGATGCTATAGGCTATATCAATTTCTATAGTACTAGCATTTTTTGTGGTATCTATTTCCTGATCTGGTCTATCTTGAAGGGTTGCCTGCAGATTATTCCACCTATTAAACTGGCCAATTAGGGACTGCAGCTTTGCAATATTAGCCATAAAACAAAGGTTTTGAACATACTGTAGATGTGTCACCCATTTATAATTACATAATCCACCATCCTCAAATGGAAGTACTTTGATCCTCACCTTGAACTCCAGAATGAAACTGAAGGGCCTCAACCAAGCATGGCACTTCAATGCAACAGACAGGTAGTATCTGTGAACCTTTCAAGCCCATATGAGCAAGATGAACCCAAATAATAGCTACCTCTGCCTTTGTAAGGATAGAAAGGCCCCTTTACAACCCTATTTGGGGCTATTATCAGGAACTGAAAATAGTGATAGAAAGTAGGTAAAAAATGAAAGTCTTGAGCATCAAAGAGAAAATATTGCATAGCATTAAAAAAAAAAAGGAAGCAGTATAGCACCCTGAATCTAGTGAATGAGCATCCCTGCTTGACAATGAATGGGATGGAAAAAATAATGATTAGAAGGATTAACTCTGTAATCTCACTCTCCAAAATAGATCATCCGCACCACTGGTGAGGATCTTGCATCTTAGCTCTTCTTAGACAGCCCACTGTGGGTATTGGAGTATGCATAAGTTGGTAGAACTGAAATCCTGGCAAATACCTGTATGTCTACTATCAACACCACAGGTGTTCCCTAGGTTTGTACATGTTGAAGCTATATTAAATTTCAGAACAAATACCTAGAGGATATATAAATTAAGAAAGTAATGCAGTTTAACCCTGTACAAATAACTTTTATTTCACTAGTTACATATCAATTGCTGTGGCATTTGACTTTGTGGATTGTTCACGCTTAATAACTTTAAAGACTTTCAAGTGCTTTTCAGGGGATCTGGAAAGTTGCAATGTGAAGAAGAAAGTAAATCTGATTGAAAAGCAGAACTATAATTACCTAATTTGAATCCCAGCACCGAATCTTACTTTCCATATTGTACCTGAAGCAATTTATTAACTGGATGTTGGCGTAACAGTTTAAGGCTAGTCAGTTGTATTCTTGCAAAATGGCTGTGTGGTATTTCTGTACTTGACAGCTCACAAAATGGCTGCCATGGGGACATGACCAATTACAAAGCACGCTTTATTGGGAATGCCACTTGCCACTCTTTCTAGCCCTTCCATAGGATGCTTCTGTTACCACCAGCTTATATGTCTTTTTTGTTTGTTTTCCTGGACAGGTAGGTGCACTTCCCAATAATGCTGGTTATTCACATTTCCTGATAAAGCTTAACACATTTGGAACCCAGGGACATTATTGAAAATAAAAATGTTGTCATGCTTCACTTTACAATATGGCAGCTTATCTTTTTTTTTTTTAATTTAAAAGGTGCAGCAGGAAATCTAGCAAGTACAATGGAAAAGTGTCAGCCCTAGCAAGTGCCACTGGGACCCAGATTCTCAGTCATCTGACATGTGGAAAGGCCAGCTCTTTCCAAATGAAAAAAGGAGCAGCAGGTACAGCCTTCCTAAGCCATAATTTAGAATTTACTACAATCCATTCTTCTGTTAGGCTGTGCACATTCTTGCTCATACCATTCAAAAAATTTAGTAAGCGGTATTTGTCCTGCTCATTTCCTTTACTCTATACAATCCCTGTCCAAACTTGTTTGAAAATGTCACTTGCCACTGTTCTTTTATTCCTATTTCATTAAACTTGCCACCAAAGGCACACTAGCTGTAGAGTTTTACAAGTTTTTACAATAATACCTTTTTCATCACTATTGCTAACTGAAGTGGCCCTAGCTTTTTAAGTTTATCTAAATTAATAGTGAATGTATTTTGTAATATTACACACAATGCTCACTGACATAGTCCTACCCTCCTCCCTGTAGCCTGGAATTGAGCATTTCTACATAACTTTCTTTTTAATGTGTCACTGTAATCTAATCTTTAAATATGCACACACATTTTTCCTACTGGAAAAATACAGATGACATGTTGCAACAGAAAATGAGATTCTTCAGAATGGGAGTTAAATCCATGGACACAGAACCAGTTATGTATGCATAATGAAATACTACTGGTATGGTTGTGGGATCTTCTTTAAAAGTACCAGCAGAATTAAAAACCACTCCATCACTGCGGCTATCCCCTCTCTCCTATGCTGTATGGTTTTTATTTTTTTTTAATAATGACTGTTTTATATTTTTAATAATGACTGTTTTTATATATTTGTTTTAATTAATTGTTGTATGCTGCCCAGAGTCACTTTTTGTGAGCTGGGCTGGCCATATAGATTTGCTAAATTGTTGAACTTAGAAAACGATATATATTTTTTTCAGAATACCCATGCTGGATTCATACACATATACTTTTGATTACAGGCACCAAATTTATCTGGCATTCCAAAATCCCTCCCAGATTTTTTTTTAGAGAACCTCAAACATATATTAAAAACATCAGGACCAGAATGACTGATGTCTTTGTCAAAAGTGATGAACAAAATAGCATAGTACAAATATACAGGCAAAAAAACCAGTTTAGGTATCATAGAAAAATGGGAATTAAAAGCTGGTTTCCAGTCATCAAAACATTCTCCTTTTCTCAATAATCAAATATTATCAAAACACTTTGGAAACGTGACTTAAATAATCTGATATTCCAGTACATTTTCTAATTTTGTGCTGAGTGACACGTGCACAACCACCTGCAACTTATACTCCTGCTTGCAGAAGTGTGGCTGAGGTTTGGATAGTGGAAGCATTAGCCTTAAGAGGGTGAAATCCAGATCTCCTGCTGACGCAGGCAGTGCTGATGGAGAATTAAAATTCCTCAAGCTCTTAAGAAAGCCCTGGAAAAGGAACTGTGAAAAGATGGCTTGTCACTGGTTAGGTGATAAGCTGCTAATATAGCTAAGTGGATTTTAATAGATGAAATAGTAGTAACATCAGCAAGATCCTAGAAGCAAGGACAAAAACAATGAACCAGAATGAATGTTCCCACCCATCTCCTTCTTCACTCCCCCAGTTTTCTTCATCTTTCACGATTTTCTTACTTTTTCATTGACCATTTCTATACTACACTATAACTGGAATATTTTCCATCATTCAGTACTCTTTTTTACTCCACTTATCCTTTCTTCCTGCCTACATTTTCACTGCTTCTTAACTATAGTTTAGAAGTGTTTCTTATAAGACCTCTGAAAAAATCATTCCTTCTATAGTACACTGCGCTCCATCTCTTAGTCAGAATGATGAAGGGGATAAAGAAAATACACACCCTGTTGTCCCAACTATCATAAGAGAAAGAACTGCTTTGCCATAGAGTTCATTCCACTTCCAGAAGATAATATTGACTACTCATATTTAGTAACCAAACAGGTACTGCTACAGAAGCTGCAAATGAACACCAACTGACCATTACTCTAAGAGAAGACTAAATACAAATTTTGTGGTCAAGTAAAGAAAGACCAGTGACAATACAGGAAAAACAAGGATCAACAGATCTACTTGCACGATCGAACAAACAGAAATATTGCCCCCTAACAATCTTTGCTGCACTCCACATGCTTTTGGAGAGAGAGAAGTGTAATTGACTCTAAAGGCTTTATAACAACCAAAAATTACCAAACACATACATCTAGGAGCAGAAAAACACATTTGTATCATCCTCTGATGTTATCGGCTAACCAGCAACACAGAGAAGTAAACAACCCACGTAGTCATCTTTGGATACTTTTTCCCATGGATAACTAGAATGTTATATGAAATCCTGATCCGCGACAAGATGCACCTGCATACATTAAGCACAACAGAAGTAAACACAACCTTCTGAAAATTTCACTTTCTGGGACCATTACTATATTTCTCAGTCCATTAAAACTACCTAGCAGCATGTTATTATCAGGAATTTGCCATTAATATGCACAGCAGTTACTATGCTAGGAAGGCTTTCGATTTTTAAGTACTATGGGGTGATGTCTATTAAATCTAAATTTGTTATTTATGTCAATTTACATCATTTACATAACTATATAAATGACATGAATGATGTTATTTGCAGCAATATCTTCATTTAACAGACCACTGGGAGGAAGAGGTATCTGTTAAGTCTATTTCAATTTACATCATTTGTGTAATTGTATAACCGATATGAATGACATCATTTGCAGTAAAACCAAAACCTTGATTTGAAGGACATTAGTCCATTAAATAGGGTGAAGTTCAAACACAAAATGTGTCCATTGTATCTGCAGTCTGCAAAACCAAGCTCTATTAAACCAAAGGTTTACTGTATTTCAAATTAAATAACCAGAGCAATGTCCCACATCCCCTAAGTAACAATACATGAAAAATCCCATTATACCATTTTGACTAATCTGATATATAAACTTGACACTTAGAACAAAGGTATTTGCTGCCACTATGCATATTTGTATACAATACACACATACTGTAATCCATTTTTTTGCCCAAGAGCAAATATAAAATATAAGTAAATTATTCCATTTTCTAGATCTTGCTAATTGCTTTGTGACATTTGAAAGTATTTTTGATCATCATTGGCAACATAAATTTTGCCATAGGATTTTTCAACTGCAATGCTTTGTTCTTGCTAGAAGATTACATTGATTTTTTTTTATTTTTATATTCCTTTTAAAAAAAGATACAATCCTTCATAAAAATAAATCCCTCCCCCCACAACCCTCATGCTAAAAATCTGAAAAATTAATAAATCTTCTGAAGAAGTTTGGACTTTGCAATCAGTTTGAGCTAAAGTTCAGGAATCAATTAATACAGATGATGGCTTCTGTATCATTATACACATAGAGAAATCAAGATCTTCAGTCATGCACAGGCTTCAGGCAATGTTGCATTGGGCAACAAAAGACTAAAGCAAAACTCAGAAGTCTTGCTGGATGTTTTCTTTATTTGCCTCTCCATGTTGCTGCTTAATTTGAGAAATTTCATTTTCCAACTGCACAATAGTTCGTTCAATCTCATAATTTTTACTGACAAGGGACACCCATCTAGAAAAAAGAAAAGGAAAAAAACATTTTATATGAATGTGTTAATTTTATTGCTGAAAGAAGGAATATTCATCTTGGGGAATGCAATACTATAATGTCAATAAAACAGAAAGATAGCAAAGGAGTGCAAAGTAGCACAGTAGTTAGTAGAATGTGAATAACAGATAAAACTTTATCTGAGGTCACAGAAACGACATTACTGTTGGTAACTTCTACTTGTACTTCTATAGATGGAAATGTTTTATAAGCTAAAAATCCAGTTACATCTTAAGAGATTAATGCAGCGGTTCTATAGAAATTGTTTTAAGAGCAGCACAGGATACTGGTGAGAAAAACTACTCACGTAGATTCCATTTCCCGAAGTTTAGCACCAGCTGTAAGTTGCATGTTCTTCCGCTGCCAGTTAAGGTCTTGGATGTGTTTCCTGGAAGAAAGAAAATGGCATAATAAATTATATAGTTATTTATTCTGCAGCCAAATGCCCCAATTAGAAGAACAAAGGTTTCTGTACAACTGCATGCTTACCTTAAGAACAATTATCCTTAGATTTATGAACACTCATAGTACAGGTCTTAAAAATGACACTATAACAATTAAACAGCTCACTGAATACACTCAGAGCATTTCACAATGCTTGCAGTGAGAAAAGCAGGATAGTTTTAGATTTTAGATCCATTAGCCAGAAGGGAATGGCAATCAACCTGGACTATCACCATATAGACATGCCTCATAAATCTAACAGAATGTAGATGCCTGTTGTATCTATCATCTATTTTAATTTTATATAAATTATTCTAACTTAACTTTTAACCCAGGAGAGCCTTCTCTGCTATTGCCCCTGTCCTTTGGAATATTCTCCCCCCAGAGGTCTGGCGGGCCCCTACCCTCCCAGCTTTCCAGAACGGACTAAAGACTTGACTCTGCCAGCTTGCGTGGGGCAACAAGAATTTTAAGCAATCCTGGGGATGGCTGGAGCCCTGATGACGCTCCCCGGGCTACTTGTCAATTAATATCAACTCTTGGACTATATTTATTTCTTATTTATTTAGGTCTATTTTATATTTTAAGTGATTTTAGCTTCTCTGTAAACCTCCCAGAGTTGTTTTTTTTAACGAGATAGGCAGTGACAAATTTTATATATAAATAAATAAATTTTAAATCATTATAAATAA